CTTTACTGTGGGCATCACGACTGCGAAGGTTTTTTCTTCTTTACAAAACAGCTTGACAACGATGAGTGAAAATCAAAAATAACAATATTCAGAAAATTCAATAATTACAAAATCCATAGTTTCAGCCTTTCACATTGTCTTTCAAAGGTTTCTTAATTTTAAAACTTGCCACAGTCATACAAATATGTTATTCATCCAATAAGGCCCTTAATTACATCAGTTTTCAAGAAATTCCACCTTGACTTTACACATTACCTGCAACCAGACTGTTGTGATAATTGTGACCACCTGGTGGCATTAGAGGAATATGTGATTGAATGGGGGGGGGGGGAGAGAGAGAGAGAGAGATAGTATTTTTTTTTTTTATGTGAATACTTTTATGGAATTGAAACAGCAGTTTGTTGTTACAGGAAACCATGAGATCAACACAGTTAACACTCAAAGACATTTGGTAAAGATATGAAAGTAATGATCACAACATAGCAAAATATCCAGTGTTAATGATTCTGGCACAGTATATACCAGACAGACCACTGCAGCCTACTTTGAATTTTCAGATTCCTCTGCAGCCCACACAACTATGGTCATCACCCAAGCAGGAAACTATTTTTTTTTGTATTTTCATTAATTCATTTGGATCTTCTCATCTTTTCTTGTTGTGGCTGATTCTCCAACAACAGTGAGGAGTTTTAAAATGTAAATATTTCACTATAGATACAGATTTTATTTAGAAAAATCTATCTGATTCTGGAATCAAACCCAAAGTATTTTATTCTATATAATTAAATTAAACAATCAAATGAGCACATGATTACTTATAGGTTTATCTTCTGGGATTAAGTCATTTAAAAGCACCTAAGGTACCACTTTTATAAATATATATTCCTATGCATTTAAAATTTGAATATGTTATAAGAATTAAGAATTTCAATTGATTGGGGAACCAAGTGGACCAGCAACGCATGACAACAAGCAGAGGAAGAGACAGAGCACTAAATACACAGAGGTTAACGAGGGGATGGGAAACAGGAGGGAAAAACAGCTGGAACTAATCAGACTAACAAGCCAGGGAACGTAATGCACACAGGATAGGAGACTATGAAAATAAAGCAGGAAACAAGAGACGCACAAGGACACGGACTGACTGAATACAGGGAACAGAGAAACAGACATTGACTGATGAATAAACATGGAGACAGGATCTTAGCATACTTGTTAGACATGACAGACTACATGGGGAGGCACAAAGGACAACAGACTAAAATGAACAAGAACCTAAGAACTAGGAACTAAACTGAAATTAAATGAGAACATAAGGAACATATAACACTGGGTCATAGACTCAGTACCATGGCAGTTTGCCTCGCATCTTGCTGGAATTATGCTTCAACTGAAATCCTAAAAAGGATAAGCTGCAGGTCAATAGATGGATGGATGCAATAAGAGATCTGGATATCTTCATGGCAGCAAGACTGTCAACAAGTAATCAGAAAAAACTCGAGATGTTATCCAAACATTTTAAAGATAGTTGGAGAGTCGTTGTCAACATAACTAAAGCTTTATTAATCATGCAACAGTATTTAAAGCCACGTGCTTTCCAACATGATATTTCACCACAAATGAGGTGATTTAAAAAAATGACAGGCAACACCACCAGCTCATCTACCTTGCCTGAGAGTGAAGTATTGTATCAGACACTAAAAAATAACCTCTGATGGGGGAAGAGTAGTGTGTGTGACCACATAAATATAAGTCCAAAATAAAACCAAATATAAGAGAACGATGGCGACAGACAAGTACCACATATTGGTTTAGAAAAATGCTTAGGAGAAACTACAGGTTGGTCTGTGCTGGGTTGATATTCTGAGTTGTCAGATTAATATTTTTCCTAAATGTTGAACAAAGTGGAAGGGTTCAGTACAGAAAGTTTTAAATAGTGTCAGTAACACTGCTAATCTGCACACATGAAATCAATGTTTCTTAATGTTATCACTTTTGTCTCCTCTCTGTCGCATCTCCTAAAAATATGTCCCAGATTAAAGTTTGTCAATTTTTAAATGGTTGGGGGAAATGGGATTTGGTAGCAGCAGAAAAGCTGCCATGCCCACATAATATCCAAATTCAGCTAATAACATAAAGAAAGGAAGGGAATGACAACAACTGAGGAAAGAACTTGGCAACCTTGTCACACTCACAGGAGAGTGCTGTCAAGTCATACTACTGTACTACCTGTCTGGAATGATGGAGAGGCAAATGATTAACAGCGACGTGATTTGAAGCCAACACACACTGCATTCAGTAGATTACACAAGACGGCTTCAACTTTGACGTGAAAGTGGAAATAGACAGGGAGATTCAAGGAGACTCTTCTTCTTCTTTGACTGAAAAACCCTCTAGCCCCAAAAGACCTAAGATAGAGATCATAGATAAATACTACTGATTCCAACAAGAAGCTTCAAAGAATAGTAGGTATCAATGTGTTTTAGTTTAAACTCTTAAATATTTTCCCCATTTTCTTTTAGTGCATTAGATGGCGCCATTGTCCTTTTATTGTGGTTATTTTCAACCCACAGTCATATTCACATATTTTTAATCACCAATAGTGATTAGAGCACTCTGCAAAATTGATAACATTAGGCTGAATAGGGTTTCTATTTTAATTTAAAGCATGTTTCATGACAAGCTTTTGATGTGTGCCCACTTTTTTCTATAATCATTAATACTATATGTGAGCAGGAATTGATGTTGGCTTATATAACAACCTCACAGCTGAATAAATATTGTCAACAGATAAAAGAATCAGTAACTACATCACAAATAATGCACCAAAAATTAGTTTAAGGTTATTTAGAAGACTAACATGAATATAAGTATAACTGTATGACAGTACTTGTGCTCAATTGCACGGCCAAACCATGCAAGAGATAGCTGGATCCTTTTGTGGATGTAAATAATTTGACTTGCCTCTTCTCTTGTGACACTTCCTGACTCTGTAAAGGCTGATTTGTTTGCTTCATGTACCCGCACAAGTCCAATGTTGTCATCTTAAATGAAGATCCATGGCACTAACAGGCTTACATCCTGCAGCCGCTTTGCCTTAATGTGTTCTTGGTGCACTGAAGGATCACCGTGCATTCTCTATATGTGTATGTATATATGCTTTA